GCTCGCTCGTTACATCTTTTCTGTTGAAGAGCTGAGCCAAGGTGGGGGGAAACGCAGTGCTGTTACAACAGGGCTGCCTTCTGCGGCTCGTGCTGCCGCCAGGGAAGGGGAACAGAAGTCAGGATCAGTTCTAACAACCGCAGCTATTTTACTAACAACATATACCATAACCTATTTTACAATCTGTGTCTTGAAGCCAATGCGACCAGTTAATGCTTTCAGTGTCACGTTGATCTTCAATGGGAAGACAGATGTGATGTCTAGTCTTTAGTCAAACTGTGAGGAACAGCTGATATCCCATGCTGGTTTTTGTTAAGGCTCAGTTCCAATCCAAGTGAAATAAAACAGGTACAAAGGTATTTTTGGAATGCAGCTATCATAGATTCAGTAGCATCATTGAAATTACTGTGCCAGTCTCTCCTACCTTATCCTTGCAAGAGAAATGCTTGATTGCAGTAATGAACCAAGATTTCTTTCATGAAAATGATCCCCAAATCCACTTGTCATGTCTCACGCACAAAACTGAAAGATGCTGTCCATTCAGCACAGGAAAACAGAAAGAAAACAGCTTTTTGCACAAAAAAAACCCTGAAACTTGATGAGCACAGCTACCACATCTCAGTTTCTGGGGTTGCTTAAGTACATGGTTGCAGGTTTTACACTTGCAACATCTCACATGTCTCTGTAGCTTATTTATACAGACATATACTGTTCATACTGAGTTTTTAATTATTATTTATTTAGCCTGAATGAGAGGACAAGTGGATTTTTAAGGCCTCTGGGTGCTGGGGTGTTTGTTTGCAGGAAGGTTTTGGTTCTTCAGTGGAAAACCCCTGTAAACTGAACCAGTCAAAACTGGTTGGGAGGAGGTGGGCTGCGATGAGGAGGGGTGATAAGTGAGGACAGTTAGACCACAGCCGTCCTGCCTCGTACCGCAGTGTGCTGCTGAGCCATTTCCTCCTAATGGAAATACGCAGTGATACAAACCACACGCCTAAGTTAGACGTAAATAACACCGTGAAACTGGCTGTTGGCGACGCATGTTGGTCTAACTGCACGCTTGTGATACGTACATGTAGGGGCTACTGCTACCACAAAGCCACGGGTGCTGCAGGGTGTCTGCAGGACTTGCAGTCTTACTTACTGTGAGCACACGCCAGAGTTACGAGTTATCTATTAAGCATAAACTTCTGTTGTCAAAACTCTGTAGACACTTGAAAGACTTCTCTTCTAAAGTACATAACTTACCACAACTGATTTTCAGTGATTTCAAGCTTCTACAAGTGTGAGTGTTAAAGCTGCTCTACTCCTGTCACAGAATTAATGCAAATATTAGAAAAATGATTACAGGCAATCTGGTGCTTCTACTGAAAAGGAGACAGAAGCGGATCAACTTTTGCCCTGAAAGCACAAAAGAATAATCAGCAGAAATAAATTTCTTAGTGTAAAGGGATTTGCAATGTATTCTTTATCTTGCTGGAATAACTTTGTGTCCTATGCTGTACAAGAACTTACATGATTGAGAATAGTGATTTGTCAACCATCAAAATAACCTACAAAAGGTGATATGGAAAACTACCTGTGGATTTGTCTCACATGTGGTTACAAATAAGAAGGACGTGCGTAAGGATCATAGCTGTCTGCCAGCAGCAAACTTCTGTTGATACCAGGTAC